GAATCTCAATATATAAATGTCGTGTTCATTTTGTCTATTCAATTTATGATTTTAACCAGAGTTAAACTTTTTCAATATCAATGTCCTCCTTGTGGTCGGAATCTAACAGCTGCTGAGATCAAACGAGTACAGTCACTTCGAAATAAAAAATGTTCTAAGAAAATATTCCCATTGATGGTATCCTTATTTCCTCAAATTGACGCCGCATCCAGATGCGGCGTCTATTCGGGGGCGGCGTCTATTAATATTTTGAGCTTTAATTGCGGCGTCTATTTGAGGACGGCGTCTATTCGGGGACGGCGTTTATTCGAGTAAATTCGGTATATACAATTGCATGAAGTTAACTTTTGGAGATTCCTCTGACTAGTAAGATGGTCCATGTACGAAATACAAACTTCGATAATTATACGTATAAAAAGGTTCTTTTTTAAACTTTGCATTGAAAATTGTTAAATTTGCCAGGAAACATGGTATGGTGTTAAAGTATCTGTTGTTTACATGATCTTTTAGGTCAAATTTATTTAAACCTCACGGAATTTTGCATAAAATAGACTTGCGTGAATTTGCGGGCTTGCTATTTTGGAAAATTGAGAAAAACAGGGTGATAATATTAGGGTATTACTCCTGGCTCGATATTTCTAGTGTTTTAACATCGTTACTCCAAGTCACCAGAAAAGAATATCGCGGCGATGAATAAGGCAATTGAAACTTTGAACTGCACATTAATTAATTAATAACAAAAAACAATTGAAACTGGTAACGCAATCTTGCTTTCACTAGAGTGCACGTCACATAAACATGAAACAATTCTTAACTAATGTAGTGCCAAATAAGATTTAGTTATCAACTAACTAAGAATTGAGAACAATGCTACAAAGGAATTTAAATAATTGGCATTGTGTTTATGCTTTTATGAATTCTTAGTTAGTTGATAACTAAATCTTATTTAGCAATACATAGTTAAGAATTGTTTCATGCTTATGTGACGTGCACTGTATATATTTATTGCAAGTTAAAAAAATATTCCTCCTAATTCCTCGCTCGTTCGTTGTCCTGATTGATGCAAATTCATTACAATCCCTTACATCGCGCTTTCCATAAAGAAACCTCATATACCTTTATTGCAAAAAAACTTGTCATAGAGAAATAGAAATTTTGCAGTTTTGGTCATTCACGCTGAAAGCTTTTATCGTACATATTTCTTTTATATTTTCAATGTATAGCGACAAATAATGATAATCAAATTTCCTCTCGTTCATCTCAAAACATTCAATTATATTACACGATAATTACTTACTATCCCATGATACATCAGAATAGCCACCAAAGATGTATCTATCAACACGAACAATGGTAACTGTTGGTCCTTTGTTGTCACACTTGGGGTGGAATGTCTTAGTCACATCCCATCCATCGCTAGCAGCTCTCCAACATCTCACCCAACGACTCTTACTTGCATCTTGAAGCACTGGCTGAAGGTATGTGGAGAGTTTCTGCAAGTATGTCATGTTGCCATGCTCATAGAGAATAGYTGAATTCTCAAGTCCTCCTTTGTTTAAAATTCAAAAAAATAAAATTAATAAAATGTAAAAAATATCATCACCTGAATCATGGAGATATAGAAAACAGTCATGATTGATATCAATTTCTGAGTGTCTAAACTTATGACGGAGTGATGAAAATTTAAGCGTCAGGCAATAAATTTTTGGTAAAAATCATTCTTTATTTTGTGTAACTTTCAGGATGAGTGCCGTGTTTGTTTATGCAATCTTGTCCGAACAGTTCCGACTTCTTAGCAAATTTCTTGCTTTATCACTTGAAATTTCAATTTTTCTAGCAATACTTTTCAAAAGAATCGATTATTTGACATTTATTTTTTTCAGACGCACTACTCCATCGGGCAAGTGACAAGTGTTTGTAAATACTGGGTTATTTTGAACTGCTGCACCTTATCGATAATTATAAAAAATCCTGTCTTTTTTCAGTATTTTTAAATTAAACATAACATAACATCATGACGAAATTATATCGTCTCACTCTCTACTGGACACGAGTAAAGTTTATTACGAGCGTTGACGATCACCGTTTTTATAATATTTCAATAATACATTTGAATAAAACTAAATGGTTGTGCAAATTTTCAATAGAGTGCACGCCAAAAAAGCGTGGAACAATTCTTAACATCTAATAAGATTTAGTCAACTAACTCAAGAATTCACTGGCCATGAACACTGCAATGTCAGATTAACAAATCGACGCTTATCGACAATGAAAATGACGTCAGAAAATGATCAAACTCAAGTGGAACCACGAGCGTAGCGAGTGGTTTCACTGCCAAGTTTTGATCATTTTCTGGCGTCAATTGAATTGTTGATAAGCGTACAGACCATAGAAAAGCGATTTCGATTTGTTGTTTTTTTTACCATAACAAAGCCGAAAAAATCAAAACAAAATCGTTTCTGGCGCGCGCCGGTTCCGTGCGCGAGCGATTCGTCATGTCATCGGTCTGTCCTACGATCGGCAACGACTCTCGACCAATCAGCGCGCGAGAATTCTACAAGTTATGGTGTAAAAAATGAAATTGTCCTTGTTTACTTCTCACTGAACTTTTAATTAGTTGATAACTTATAAGTCGCTGATTAGTTAAGAATTGTTTCACACTTATGTGGGGTGCACACTATGAAATGATGCATAAGAATAAGAGAAACAAGACAGGCTTAAATGGAGTCACGATATGTAAAAGGTTAATACTTACTAAGGCAATGGCAGTTCTGTGTCTCATTGTAAGGTCCAGTGCAGTTCTTTCCACCATGAGCAGGTGCTGGGTTGGTGCAAGAACGACTTCGATATCGTGTGCCATTACCACATGACAGAGAACAAGATGTCCAGTTGCTCCACTCGGTAAAATTACCATCAACTGAAAAATATTAAGTGCAAATCAAAAAATGGTTCTAGATCCTTATATTTGTATCGTGAAAAGTTCAATGAGGCTGAACGCTTTATTTTGTCTTATTTCAATTTATTCCTTTTTACTAAATTCAAATGTTCTATTTTCCATGACAACGTTTCTGCAAGTAGGTGTATATATTTAAAATATGGACGCAAACTGAATCTCTGCTTGACTTAATTTCATGGTGGCATTCACCCTTCTTCAGCAAACTCGAAGTGAAACTTTATTTTTACGGTTATGTTTCTATTTTTGTCGAGAAGAATCAAAAAGGAAAAACAAAGCTACATGTCAGGACTTACAAGGAACGCTACAAATAAGTTGATTGTGGTGTATCTTTACTCCGACACACACGATAAGGCAACAAAGAGGTGACCAGGCAGACGTTGAAAATTGAGAATTTCACTGTCACAAAAAATTAAACATTTTTTGAAAAGTTGTGAGCGCGGCAAAAACCACAGCAGTACAGTAGCATTCTTGTCACTGCGATGACGTGTTTTCTCAAATTTTGCTTTTAAGTTTTTGGTTGGCTTGAGTTGTAGCGATACTTTTGAATTCCAATTTCTCGGTTTTTCGTAATGTGTAATAATAGGTACTAGCAAATGGTCTCGTGTGCAACGAAGATGCTTCTCACGGTACGCGGCACTGCTATATTTAAGCATGAATTCTAAAATATTTAGGATACTACGCGCGCTGTGATTGGTCGAAAACCATGTTTGATTACAGTATCAAAACACGCTCGCGCGCGTCAAAAATTTCTTTTTTCCCGCCGTTTGCATTTGTTGTTGTTATCATTCATTTTCAAGAACAATGAACGAAGAAATGCCTATTTATGATGTCCTCTGGGATGATATCCCAGAAGAAGAGCTATCAAACGTTTTAGAAGCTACAGAAGCTGCAGAATTGAAGCTACTTCGAGATTTGCAGAGATAGACGACAGCCACATAGACAAAATTCTTGACAACTCAGTCAAAAAAACACAAAGCCAGAATTCTTTTAATTTTAGAAAAGAAATAAAAGACGAAATTCCGTGTTTGATACTCTGATCAAAACACTTGGGATGTAGGGAGAGCACTCGCTACGCGTCGTGGTTTCCTACGCTTCTCTCGTGCTCTCCCTACATCCCGCGTGTTTTGATCAGAGTATCAAACACGGAATTTCGTATTTTATTTCTTAATTATCTCAATTGAGAACAGCAACATTTTTCCATTCCAAACTTTTTTTTCTCACCACTTGTCACCAGAAACAAAGAATTTCCAACAAATAATACAGTAGCTAAAATCCATTTCCTAGTCTTGTTCTTGAATAGTTCTCGCTTTGCACCGTTCGACAGTTTCGCTATTTAGGGAACRTTATTTACACTGTTAGTTTTCTATATTTATTTTATTCAGAATCAGTATTTGACGAATTGAAGAAACAAAAATCAAATCCAGAAGACAAAATAAGCGTATTTGCTTGTTATCGAGAGTATGCAAGTTTTAGAGGCAAGCAGTTTTTACGTGGTTAGTTTTGCGCAATAAAGTTTCATTTATTGTCTGGTCAAAACACAAAATCTGAGCTCGACCTAATGTTTACATAATTTTTGACGAGAGCGTGATATTAAGAATTAAATGACGACCTCCATCTCTGCGATCTTCAAATAATGAATAATATCAACCTATAGTCTACCACTACGCACGGTGCTGTGATTAATTCTAATTTTAAAATATCTGCGACAAAAAGAGCAAAAAAAGACCGTCGTTTATGTCCATCAGAGAAAAGATAAAAGGAAGACTCGAAGTTTATTCTGAGTAGCGTCAAACAGATAAAACGACCATGTACGAAACGACATAATTCCTAATACAAATATATACGAAAGGAACTAAATGCAAGCAAAATACAACTTGTAATACTTTTG